TCAATACACTATTTTAAAAAGCAGTTAACAATATAGGATAAAGTTTGCTACAATCTTTTCAACGGACGTAGTTGACCTGATGGAGATTTTTTTCCCCTAGCTAATCTGAAGTTTCCTTTTAAATAGTTCTATTGTTACCATGATAATGATGGAACATTAGGCAATATTCCCCTGTCCATTGTGACGTGTTGAAAATACAAATACGTTGATATAACATAATTACTGCATATCACACCGAGGTTGCAGGCAAAACAATTCATCCGGGAGCTGTAACCATTTGGTTAATGAATTATAATCATTGACGGCAATGTAATTTAAGAAATTAATAAGGAGCTCAATATGCTGCTACATCGTTCCCTGCCACAGGAGGGTAACTGAAATAATGGCATTATTTACTAGAATTAAAATAAAGAAACTATAAAATACCATATAAATATAATTAATGAGAGTCAATGAGATCTGTGTTTGTTTTCACCTTTTAGCAGTACACAAAGACATCGGATATAATTTGGATTTGGATATGGAAATTTAGGGTAGAAAATTAAGGTAGAAATGGAGTTATCTTTTGTTCAATTGGTTTTAGGAATCTCAAGACTGAATTAGTTAACATTTATTTAAAGTGGACCTTTCAGTTACAGGAACAAATATAGGACTGCTCACCCATTCTTCTTCCGCATACAAAACATTATTGTGCAGGTGGCACAAAGACACTCCACTCGTTCCTTCCTCTGAAATGTTTGACCTTCTTCAGGGCAACAACCCTATGATGAAGCCCTGTAGGGGTCGAAACATAACCAGTGGGAGGAGTGTCTCTGGGCTGTGTGCACAATAAAGTTTTGAAGAATGGGTGAGCGGTACTACCTGAAAAGTAATGAGACATATAAAGCCACATGCAAACTATGGGATTTAATTTCTACCCTAAAGTGACATTAAAGGTAATTTTTTTCCACCCCCACCCCCCCCCCCCCATGCTAATGCAAGGACTTACATTAAATGATGACTCCTTATCCAATCATCTTCTTCTTTCCTGTAGTTTTCAGGAGTTCCTCCAGTGCTGGTGCCGGTCTCCGATCCAGCGCTGACTCCTCTCTCCTCCTGGCACTTCCTGTCCCACGGAGTCTGTGTGGGTGCACACTGCCTCCACTGACTTGCGTCTCTCCTCCTTTTTCGGCTGAAGATCTGAACTGTGCATGCACCCGCCCCATGATCCTGTTTTTTTACTTTTTAAAAAATGTTTTTGCTTATATCTACTGCTCGCTAGCAGTAGATATATGCAAAAAACCACGAGGGTTTAATAATCCTTTAATTTGCCCGTATCTGTTTCTAAATTATATCTAATGTCTTTTTTTGCACAATAACGTTTTGTGCATGGAGGAAAAATTGGTGTACCGCTCTACGTTTGTTCCTGTAGCTCGGGGTATACTGAGCTTAGAGTGACGGGAGGACGCTAGTTTGTGTCCTCCCGTTACCCTTAGGAGAACTATGGGGAAAAGCCCTAACCCCATAGTTCTCCTTTAAGGAACAATTTTTCCCAGAGTTCTGCTTTAAGTAGCTACTCTAATGGGTTATCCCTGAAATTGGCTGATGGTCTCCAGGCCTCACTTGTGTGCAATGTTTTCACACTTCATGTTACATTTAAGCAGCCAAAGTTTTCAGCAACTAAAATTCCATATCAGTGCCCGGGGACAGCATGTGGGATAAACACAGTGCAGACAATGCATCCTCATCACTTCTCTATGGCACAATTTATCTTGTGATTGATTTATGGTAACGTGTAACTGATGGACGGCATGAATTTTACCGTTGACATTTAAAGACAGCATGCCCTTATAACTGCGCTGTCACACCGGGGAACCGTCAGAGAATTATCTGCCTCTGCCCATTCACTGCAAGACCAGCTCAAGGTCACCCGGCATCTCCGGATAACAAGATGAATTTCTCTGCAAGTATAATTCCCAGAGACATGAGATGCTAGAGAGTACATGCTCAAAGCAGGACCGAGTGCCCGACTTTTTAGAGGGGGTGACACCAAAATGACTGTCAGCCACTATTTCAAATATACAGTATAGGAATTCCTTTTTAATTTCACATGCCTTCATTTATATGTGTCTTTACATTTACATGCAGGCCAAGCTGTCCAGCAAACGTTGCAGGGATAGGACAAACCATAAAGCTGAGGCTCCTAGACCCGAATGGCATTCTAGATCCAGGTTTCCGAATTGCATTGAGGAGCTCCTGAATGCCATTCGGGTCTGGGAGTCTCAGCATTAGTAATATATGTATGTGGCTCCATGATCCAAATGGCATTCGGGATCCGAATTTCCAAATTGCATTTGGGAGCTCCCGAATGCCATTCTTTTCCAGGAGCCTCAAAATGGGGGGGGGCGTAGAGGGCAACTCCCTGAAATGAGAAGGACACCTCCCTGAAATGGCTTCTTTCAGGTTGGGATCCCTGATACTGTATATGGCTCCCATGTTGCCAGCGGTGTATTTACCTTTGCTGCTGCCCTAGGCAAGGCAGCAACACCGCCCCCCCCCAGCGAATCTGCCGCTCCAGGCAAAGGTCTTGTTTGCCTCACGGTAGATACGCCCCTGCATGTTGCCATAATGAAGATGCGTGTTCAGAACCATTCGGATGCATTAAACCGAAAAACACATCTGATGAACCACACCAGAAAAGTCACATGTCCAATTCAGTTTCATTTTTAAATGAAATTCGGACAGTCTCCTTAAAGGAGAACTATGAGGTGAGTGCTTTTCACTCACCTCATAGTTCTAGCCGACCTGTGACAATGAGACTGTCACAGGTCAGCTCAGTAGATCGGGAGGTGAGCGAACACATACCCGCGTTCGCTTACCTCTCGATCCTGTCACGGCTCTCTGCCATGACAGGGGAGGGGCTGGATTCCCCCCTCCCCGCTCCGATCCTCCAGCGCTGACTGGCGGAACAGACGGCGGAGGAGGCGGGTATAGCTGGCTCTGCCTCTAGATAGGCAGAGCCACCTGTCAGTCACGCAGCTGGGCGGATCCCGGCACAATTGTCGGGATCCGATTCAGCTGCGGCGTCTTAGTATACCGGGAGCAGCTGCTCGCGGTATACTGCGGCGTCTCAGTATACCGCGAGCTATAGCTATACTGAGCCTAGGGTGACGGGAGGACGCTAGTTTGGAGAACTATGGGGAAAAGCCTTAACCCCATAGTTCTCCTTTAAGGCTATTCGGAAATTTGGATCCCGACTGCCATTAGGGTCTAGGAGCTTCAGCTTTAGTATTAGTATCTGTATATCTGGTTTTCTGTGGTATTCGCAACAAATATAAATAAACTCATCCGAAACGGAAAAAAAATTCGGATTTCGTCCGAATGCGAAACCCGAACTGAATTGAATTTTGGATCCGAATCCCGAAATAATGAAATATCTGAACCGAACCAAATTTCTCCGCAGTCCATATACACTTACCCTGACATATCACTGGTAAAAAAAAAAAAGTGGTTTTACATGATTATAACAAAACTCCATAAAAAAAAGCTGAAAAAGTCAAAGATTAGTTTAAAATTCACAGACAGTTTATAAAACATGCAGCTGCACTGTGGGGGGTGAAAAAAATAATGCAAATGAAAAATGTTACTGATAGGATTACTTATGCTTCTCTGCTATATGAGATCTTCATGATTAGAGGGAAGGGGGTTGTGAAACATTTGCATTAACATTAATCTAAACTCGAACAATGAACATCTCTCATTCGCTCCCTTTTGGTCCGTTAGATAAACCATTGGAAGCGTTTTGTTATATCTGATTGATAAGTGCAAAAAATACCTGTTGGTCCTGCCAGAAATCTCGTCAGCTGATAACTTCCTGTGCTGCACTTGTATTAGTTACATTGTTCCCAGTTTCCTATGAGGACTACATGTTATGGAGCAGTGGAGGCTTCTGTAGATCTCCTAATACATGTCCTTGCCTAGGGTGACAAAGCTGATTCTGTCCTGATGCGCTCGCAATGTCCAAACTCCACCTAAATAAACATTTCAGGCAAATAAAATCTTAACCCTTGCAGTACACGGGTAGCCCCACTGCAAGGGTTAATATTTTATTTGCCCAGAGTTCCTCTTTAAGTATCACTCTGGTTAGTACAATAGCTTTCCCCTTTTTATATATGCCAATTGGAAAATACCCAGTTCTCCCAATATTTAGGCTGGTCATACACGGATTGAATTTCGGGTGTTACCTGCTGCAATCCGATCCATGGATTGCCCTGCTGGCACCATCAGGTGGAAAGAATCGACTTTTGTTGAGCTGGGTGGTGCCAGTAGGGACATCCATGGATCCTATTCAGCCGGAAATGCCAAAAATGGATTTGGGTGGAAAATTGTTGGCCCAACAGTGACTGCAGGCAATCATGTATTTAGACAGCCGCCCACAGGCAGGGAAGATCCACTCATCATTGCTCTTTATCAGGGGTAGCCAAACTCCGGCCCTCCAGCTATGGTGGAACTACAAATCCCATGAGGCATTGCAAGATTATTACAGCCACAGACATGACAGAGAGATGCATCATGGGATTTGTCACCACAGCTGAAGGGCCGGAGTTTGGCTGCCCCTGCTCTTTATCATGGATGGGGAAATCAAGTTCTTAGTCAGCTCAAATTTAAGTGGAATTCAAGCTGTGGTTGGCCCTCCAAGTACCAGCCGGCTTGACAAAATTCGATTTAAAAATTGGAAAATACTGTCATTGGCCAAACAATGACTGTGTCCTGTCAGATGCAGCAGCATCACTGTATTCAGGCAGCCGCAGGTGCCGCAGTTGATGCACGCAATAGCAGGAAGGGAAGATTCCTCAATCCACACTGATGGGAATCAATTGATCTTCTCTCATTCAGCCGGTGAGAAAATCGAGCCTTGTCTGGCTAGCTCAAGTCAGCAATAAACAGTTAAGACTCAATGTACAGATTCTTATATAAGCTCAATGGTGACCCAAGACAAGAAAGGAGACAAGACATCTTACCTCTCCGTTAAAGAAACAGAAGATCGTGGCCACAAGTAATCCCTGAAAGGAAAGACAAATATTACAATGTGTTAAATACGAATAAAGCATAAAAAATCTTCTCTATTCAAACATGAAACAGTATATTCATATATTATAATTATGTGGAATCAAGTGGTGGTGGTGGGGCACTGTTTAATAATTGGACCTTCCACTTGGGTGCAAGGTCTTCTTTAACCCTTTATTAGCTCTTAGGGGGGTCTATTTAAAAAGCAAATTAATAGCTATAGTCATGTGAAAAAGTAAGTACACCCCATGGAAATCTTTGACCTTCCCAGGAAAATATTAGATCCTGGCACGTACAGCTCTGTATCGGGCAGCTACCAGGACACAGGCCCTGTCCTTCTCTATGGGAGTAGGCGGCTGTATACCGCGCTACGCTCACCCGCTCTGCATATCCGTGCGGGTGTCAGTACTGGTAGGGTGACAGGAAATTGGAATCCGGTGTTCCAGATTAGATGCCAGTGATTAGAACCTCCTTAGGAACTTTTCCCACAGACATTCCCATCGGGTCAGTTTTTGAGGTGGATCTGATCGGAAGCCCAACAATAGTCCATGGGCAGCTGGATCTAAACCGATGGGCGTCTGTTTATATCTGGTTACCCCGAATCTGGCCATGTCCAGAAAAACAAGCGGATCAGAGTTCCGGTTCAGTGGACCTGATTGTGGCGGATCAGAGTGATAATCTGATGTAATGTACATTTACATCTGATTCCCCATAGACCAACATGGGTCTGATAATTACATTTTTTTCCTCCATCGCAAGATACACGTATATATATATATA